ATAAACTTTTGAAAATCTTGAAATCTTGAAAGGGATGTGCAAAATAGCCATAATATACAGTCTTTAATTAACTTATAGTAGCACTTTGAATTGCCTTGTGTTGAAAAGTGCTATATAAATAAACTTGCCTTGCCTTGCCTTGCCTTGCCTTGCCTTGCCTTGCCTTGCCTTGCCTTGCCTTGCCTTGCCTTGCCTTGCCTTGCCTTGCCTTGCCTTGCCTTGCCTTGCCTTGCCTAGTGTGTTGAGTGCTGTGGAGGCTCTCCTGGGGGGTTGGATGCAGAGTACACAGCCCTTCAGCCTCCTTCTCACATGCTTTCTTCTCTCCTCTTGTCTCTCTTGCTCGCTCCCTCTTCATCACTTAGTCATCAGGATGTGCATCAGCTCTCTGCCTCTGGAGGCTAAAAATGGCTACCACCTCTGAGTAGCTGAAAGCTACACGGTACTTCAGCTTCTAGCATCAAGGAGTAAAGGTGCAGCTGCTCAGAAATAGTCGGTCCAGGTTCACTGTCAGTGGAGGGACATGTCCTGTGCAGTGGCGGTTTTATATGTACAAAAGTGGTGGGGCACAAAAAACTTAGATGTCTATAAGCTTCTGCAGTGAGGTTCATGGCTGGTGAGGCATTGGCACTGACTCTTCAGGTTTACAAATATTATATTTTGACCTAAATCAAAATATAATATTATTTTCAAAAGCTTTTTTTGTCTGATGCTTCAATTAATTTTAAACAGACAGTTCAACAAAAGGATACCCAAATAATGTAATTTTATCATTTAAATATTGAATTGTTCTCTCTTAGTAAGATCCCATTTTCAATAAAATTGCAGTCTTACCTTGACTTGAAGATTAAGTCCATTTGCCTATCCTTCTGGACAAAAATCTCTATTATTTTTTTGTAAAAGTCCTCCTTATCTTCTTGTAGTTTCAAAAGTCTATCATACATCTAATCTAATCAATAGATTTATGATTCGAAAATTATAAAAGTAGGGTAGACATGTGGATATTATCCGGCTGAACAAAACGTGCATTTATCTAACAGGTTTGTTTCCCACAGATCTTATTTTGAGCTATTTTCTAAAATCCTATGGAGAAACCTCATTGCTTTTTTGTCGAGGGATGCCATGCGCAGCTTACTTCCTGGTTTTAGGACGTGTCTCTCTCCTCCTCTTCACCTGCTCTTCCCACACTGCACTTTTCGCGGCACACGTACTTACAGCCAATCAGCTCTGAATTATGTGAGATGACGTATGGTGGGGATGGCAGCACTATGCCCCTATGGTCATTATTTTTTTGCCACACACATTAAATAGGAAAATATTCTGAGCATGCGCAGTGTAGTTTTTACAGTCACCATTGACTTAGACAGTGAGAGGGAGGGGCATGATCGGGTTTTGTCCCACATGGCTCTAAACAGCTCAATAGGCACACACTGTAGACACTAATTAGAAGAACACAGACTAAAACAGCAATGTACAGACGAATCAGATGATTAACCATGATCTTAAAATATATTTTATATATTTTTTAATTTATTTTTTGCATTTTTTTGTAATCATTATTTTTAATACTTTCTGCTGACACTAGGTGGGGCTGTGCCCCACCTGCCCCTAATGACCAGTCACCACTGGTCCTGTGAACTAAACGGCCTTTATCCGGAGACATTTGTCTCTTTGGATCTGGGCTCTTTACAGCTAACGAGGCAGAATGCTCTCTATTTCATTAAGGTTAGCAGTCAATGGTATTGATTTTACACAGAGACAACAACAACAACAACAACAACTTGTGTTTGTGTTCCAGGGAAGGGTCCATACCATCAACTAGTTACAAAGAGAGGATTAATGACGTATAGTTATTCGGTTACTAACTGGCCAGACGGCATCATAATAAGCCTGCATCAATAGATGACAATTAATATTCTCTTTCTCTGCTAGACATCTTATTAGTTTCTGGACTAAGTTTGTTTCTGCAACTTCCTACCCTGTAATGGAACAATTATCATTATGTTTTGGACTCAAGCCCATTCTGAATAAATGTAACTTAAACAGGAGTAAATGCAACTGTTGGGGACTATACGTTCAGATGTGGATGAATCCAAATAGGATGCCTTACCCAGTGTGTATGTGGGATTGAACCAACATTTGACCATGGGAATGAAGGAACATGTCAACGAGAGAGACTGAGTGGCTCATTGATGTGTTTTGAATGTTTCCTAGGACTGCATGCACTGAGGGATTTTTTAAATAAGTTAAAAGAGAGTTTTGGTAGAAAACTGCACTCTAAATGTAACCAAAGTTGTTTTTAAAATACCCTTTGTGTTCAGTTTAATGTATAATGCTTTCAGTAAAAGCACGTTGGTAAAAATGTCCTTGATTGTTTTAATTTAACGATTAAAAGTGTTTAAGTCTTTAGAGGACATTTGCTGACAATACAAAAATGATGGGCGTGGCAGTAATATAATTGTGTACAGTGTAACAGCTGGATTTAACGCCCTGTTTCATTGTGCCTAGCTGCACATGGACCTTACTGTGTTCTTCAAATATGAATCCTGAGCTGTTTCCCCGGTCGCTCTCTCTCGCTGTGCTGATATGTAAGTGAGGGAGTTTTAAATAAACCGCAACAGAGTATGTCTCTGCTCTCTGTAATCACCCCCCTGACAAATAAAGAGTAATTCAATCTGAATCGCCTTGCATGGCGTTTCAAAGCACTAAAGGGTCGTTGGCTGATTTAGCAATTTGGCTTTTTCCACTACTTCCACCCACTCTGCTTCATGTGGCATCATATTGTGCTTTTTATGGACACTCTGTCACGGACCACTGCTTTTATTTGAGAGTAACATTCAACAGTTAGGGACTCCATGTTCCACAAACCCCTGAGCTGGCCAGTTAATGCACGTCACTGTTAAATGTGCATGTTTTTTTGTCTGTTTCCCTATTGTGTTTCTATATTCAGCCAGCCGGCCTCCTACACCACAATGTTCAAACTCTGTCCAATTACACTAAGAGCCTGATACTCACTGAGCCAGTTGCACCAGCTTTCAGAGGATCAGCGTGTGTGTGTGTGTGCTGGGTGGCACTGCTGTTGGCAGGAATCAGTGTGAGAGATTTACAGCTGAAGGCATGGCTGTGTACGTTTCCGTGGTAACCGTTGCAGAATAAGATGGAAAAAATAGCTGAAAAATACCCATAAAATTGGGAACAGGACATACAATTGGATAGAGGACGATTCAAACCTTCAAAGTCTGAAAATAGGCAGCGCTGAAACAGATTGAGGCTCAGAGTGACAGAATGAAAAAGAAATGGAGCCTGAGGAAAGAAACTCAACAGAGGAATCCACACCATCTGGGGCTTCAGAGGCAGAACTAGAGTGTGTAAATATTGTAGGTAAACTGAATTAATTATGTATCATTATTTTACTTTGATCTCAATTTGAATTAAATCACAGAATGTGTTGTTTTGGAGGTAAATCGTGCTGAATGAATGATGCGTTCAGGGCACATGAGAGGTGTTTATCATAGTCAGCCAGAGACCTCTTTAAGTGTCTTTTAGAATGTTTTATTGGATTTTATGTCTTTTATGTCTTATTCATTCTGAACTATTTCCACATGTACTAACCCTTAAATGTTTTATAGTATAAATACCAACTTAAGAAATATATGACCAACATGTTTGCTCTGTGGATTTTAGAAAAAGTCTGCTTGTAAAAACTATAAACCTTTTCAATACAGTACGTTTTACAATGGTTATGTTAATTCTAAAGTAAAAATAATGTGAGAAATATTCAAACTACCATACCAAATCATAGTGAACATGAACAACAAACATATCAATAGACCCACAAGTTGGCATCACAACAAACTTAATTATATACTGTAAAGTCTTAACTAAAGAGGTAGACAAATATACTGGGAAAAAAATAAACAAAATGTAATAAATGCACACAATTAGCACGCATATACTATATCTTTATTTGCATATTACTCTCACAGTAATGTCATTTATTCAAATGAAAAAGCCATAACATATGCCTCTGTTTGGGTAAAGGTCATACATCAACAAATGCATTTCGAGCCTAGTTTTCTGAGCAGAGTGGATCATTGTGTGCTGCGTAAATTATACTCAGCTATTATATTTCAGAGCATTTGATTTGGAGCAGAAACATTATGGCAAACTATAAATCAAACATGTGAATGTCGCAAAATATAAATATGAGCTCTCCTGAGAAATCATGAGCTATTCTATAATGCATTGGAAATGATACGATGTAAAACCTACTTATATAAGATCACAGTCCTTTTATTGTTGTAATTGAATTCCTTCCATATGCCATAAACAGGCTTGGGGAGTAACAGGATCATGTAATCAGGATACAAGATGTACAGTTATATACAAATATGTAATCAGATTACTGTTACATTTATAAAATTGAGAATAACTAGCAGGATTACAGTGTTATTAAAACCTAAAAAGAGCACATAGTGTTTGTTGTAAAGGGTCAGATTGTATATTTATTTTCATTTCAGCAGGTGAACCTGTATGTCCATACAATAGTGTGTGTGAGCTTAACTGCGTGTATTAAACTAAAACGGAGCATTTTTACGTCAGCTCAGATTTTATTTCGGCTTTTTTTAAACTGTAGGATGTGCTCATGTGTTTCATTGTTGGTGTATAGGCTACTGCCTGAATATGCTGAGTGAAAGGCAGGTATTCCTGCAAATAAAATAATTGTTCATACTAAATATCTTGGTTTCTTATTTTCTAAGGTTACATTGTACTCTTGTCTTACATACTACATTAAAACATCTTATTGTTATTTATTTTCTCTTTTATTTATTTGAATTGATATTGAGGTAATCAAAAAGTACCGTAAAGTAATCATTTTAATTACTTTTTTTACGTTACTAGTAATTGTTCTTTACATTTTTAAAGTAACCCTCCTGACCCTGGTCATATGAGTGTTAGGCCTGTGCTCATGTTCTGCCTGTGTGTAACTCTGTGTCCTGCAGATGGCGCTCCGCTGAGTGAGCTGTCCTGGTCCTCGTCCCTGGCTGTGGTCGCCGTCTCCCTGTCCGGCCTCTTCTTCTTCGTCTTCCTCATGCTGGCCTGCCTCTGCTGCAAGAAAAGCAAAACCGGCTTCAAGGTGAGCCTCTCCTTGGAGCTCTCCTCAGCCTCTACATCAAACATGAAAGAAATATGAGGGATAGAGACACACATCATACACACACTCATTCAATCATTTGATGTTTTTATGGAGTCTTGCATGGAGATACGTACTCTATCTCTGTCTTTGCCAATGAATTTTATTGACCCGCACACAGAGCGTTCCTCTCAGCCTGTCATTAGACTTCCATTAGATTGAGTACACAAGGTCTCCAGCCATTGGTGATGTTGATGGGAAGTAGATAAAATGGCAGACAAAGGTGGTGAGGTTGTGTTTATGTAGCGGCACGAGACCCTTCTGTGTCATTGATGTAGACCCCATTTGTGAACTGCATACATAAATGGGTCAGGGCCCGGATAAAATGGGACAGGGAGCAAGGAATGTAGTGAAAGTGTTTCTGTGGGTAGGTTGGAGGAATTGAAGGAATGTGCATTTAATTGCAGAAATGCTTAAGCTTGTATATCTGTGACTGTTTTCCTTCTGTGGGTCAGCTGTGTGTTCCTGTTGATTCACCTATTTTAAACACATTATATTGTGGCGTTTTCTAGCAGAAAAACTATTTATGTTATAATCATTTTCACTAAATCCCATTTTTTAAACATGGTTGCTTTAAAAAAGAACTCTGAAACATTTCCCTCTAAAACATTTGAGCATCGATTTTTGGTTCATTTTGAAACTTGCATTATTACTAGTCTTCTTCCACTCTGCCATTTGGTGCAGTGTTTCTTGGTCTATTATCACTAGCATAACTGAATAACTTGATAATAGGGCTGGGCGATTTTTTCGGTTTTAACGATTAATTTGCATTTTTACTTTCCTACGGTTTGTGAAATGGCTGAACCGAAAAATCGCGATTTAAAAACATTTCTAGACTCCGCAGATTTGTTTTGCTTTAAGGGACTCCGTAGTAGCTTACTCTCTCACTTTCCAGAACGCGCACAAAACTCAGCCACATTGCCTGTGACTACCCGATCTGCAGCTCTGTGTACACATATATCACTTAAATTATTCAATACATCCTTTGTACTGAAGTATTCAAGAGTAAATAAAGTAAATAAAGTTTAATATAAATGATTTGCTGTGGCCAATTGTTTTCATTGCATTTACAGACCCGTGTAAATCTCTGATACCACCCAATGAATGCATTGACTTGCTTGTAGAACCACGCTACACAAAACAGATAGCAACACCTATACAAACTGTTTTTAAAAAAGGGGCTACTGTATCGACCTATATAAAGTATATACATTTTTTTTTTCTTTCAAAATACCAAAAATATCTTGCATTTTAGCCATGCCTCATTTCGCTCCATTTGCTTTTTCCAGTGCTGTTTTGCAGAGGGCTGATTCTGTGAGCTGCAGCTGACCACGCCCCCCTGCAGGAGAGGGGAGCGTGCTCTGAGATCAGCTGCTGGGCGGTCTGTAGAGGGGGAGGAAAAGAGATCTCCGTCCTCCGTGTTTTATTCTTATAGAAGTAAGAAGAGAAGTAATGGGGCAGAAACCCTCCTTTTTACGCAGCGGTCCAGACATAGACATCAAACGGCGACACATATTCAGTTGGCAGTTACTTTGGCATTAGGGCAGATACTTCCCAAGGTCTGACATCATGAAGTGTGCTACTTTTAAAGCAAGCAACGATGTTTTCAAATCTGTAATAAAAAAGCTCCTCAAAAACACTATCGAAGCAGTTCCTGCCGTTGCTACGTTAGTTCAAACAGTAACAACGGACTACTTTTCTTAGCGGATGCATGTCAATTTAAATAAATACAACTATTTTTTAAGTCAATAAAATCATTTTCTAAATCCATAAAAGCATTTCAATTAATATTAGGAGTCATGTCGTTACTTTGTTGAGAATGTGGCCATGTTTAATAAGCGGGATAATGTGCACATTGCATAATGTGCCTTCATGCCGATCTAGATCCCTCCGCAAAAAAAACAAAAACACGGCTCGTTCGCAGGCGAGAGCCGGCTCCCGTTGTTCACTTAAAAGAGTCGGCTCTTGGAGCCGGCTCGTTCGCGACCCACACATCACAACTGACAGTGTCGTCTACCTCCCAGTCAGAGCAGGACAAAATTGAAGCTGAGCTGTCATCCTATTTGTTGTCGTCTGAGACAGACCCTGATACAGACCCACTGCAGTGGTGGAAGCTACATGAAGCTAACTTCCCAAGACTGAGTAATCTGGCCAAGAAATATCTCTCCATTCCTGCCACCCTTCGGAGAGGGTTTTCAGTACGGGGGGTAACATTGTAACATGCCAAAGAGCATGCCTCAAGCCAGAGGCAGTAGACAGGCTTGTCTTCCTCGCGAAAAACCTGTAGACAACTTCCTAGAAAGTTAAAGGGATGTTATTTTGTTTGAGGGTATTTTTTTATTATTCATTTCATTATCATTATTTATTATTTGTTGTATTTCATTTTACAAGTTTTTTCAGGGATGGCCTAAAAGACATTTTTTTTCCAGTTTGATTTAAAAAAAATCTTTGCACATTAATGACAGCCAAGTGCCGTGGTGCTGTTTTTATTTTATTATTTTTATTCTTGAACAACTGATTTGTTCACATAGGCCTAGACTACTTGGTAATCTCATTTATTTGTATTGTGTTAATAAAGAAAATATGTATTTAAATGTTGCCTTGGTCTGGTTTGTTTAGAAAAAAACAGAAAAAAACAGAAACAAATCGAGGTTTAAATCGAAAATTGTCCATTAGTTAGAAAAAAAAATCGCGATTTTATTTTTAGGCCAAATCGCCCAGCCCTACTTGATACTGAGGAATATCATATAGCTTGCCTCACATTTACTTGCTCAGTTGGCAGGAATGCGTATCCCATCATCTCTGCAAGCTTGTACAGACCGCTAGTGGTCCAAATCAGCATAGTCCATAGGCTACTACTTTTGTAGTAGGTTATTGACAGAAATAGTGTTTACTCACAGCAGCAGGATGAGGCTGTTTGAGGAATGGCAGTGCTTTGAGTTAAATGCTAACAACAACATGCTAACACGCTCACAATGACAACCACCAACAACGACACACTGCAATTTGTTTCCCAGTAACTTGAGTTGTTCCCAACATTTTCCAGAACTGAGGAAAATAACTAAAAATAAAATGTAACGGACAACCTGCATAGCTAGCAGGGAATGCTAAAGTGCTATCTTCTTCCTGTTTTTGCTACAACTCACTTCCTTATAGCCGTATCAAATATTAATTTTCCATTTCCCTTAGTTTTGAACTGTTGGTTGGGTATGAGGTTACATTTTATGTTTGAAAAAAATCATATCCTCAACAAACCCCTGCTGTGATGATATTCCTGCACAACAATTACAACTGTCATTTTGATATTTAGGTCACAACGTAATGTAAGCAAGTAACGTAGCATGTGGGTCGATAATGGTAAATTGCAGAAGTGTTTCTGCCGCATTGACACTGTGATGAGAAATAAAAAATGAAACCTGTCAGACAACTTTTATATTGAGTCAAAGACATACTGTATAAAACAGTTTTAATAATCAGGTATGCCTTTGGGTGCATCTCCATCATCTTTTCTCCCTTTATTCATCCTCAGCCTTTCTCCATTCCTCAATTTTCTCTCCACTTTGAATGCCTGCAGAAGCACAGCTGTACTGATTTCAGAGGCCATGTTGCCTAACATCCTGTCCTCTCTTAATTGTGTGTGTGAATACATCTGCATCTTGCATTTCTGGATGCCTATTCCTCACATATGCGGCATTCACACCAGTGCTTTTCCCTTTCTAGCTCCGAGCGGGAGCTTTTCTGGTTCAGCTCCGGTTTCCCTTTTCTGCTCCCGCTCTGTTCACACCGCCCAGAGCCCGACTGGGTGCTGCCGCTGCTGCGTCATGACGTCACCGTTTACATCCCTGATTTGCTCCCCAACGGTGTTACGGCGCTCACAACAACAATAACTGCGTCGGGTCGATGATCGTGTTGCTTTTAATCACACGAAGCCAGATTAAATTAAATAACGACTTCTCCAGCCTTATGCTTTTCTCCAGAGTGCCGTGGTTCATTGTTTATTAATGTGTTTCTGCAGCATTTACCGACCGCTGCAGTGCTGGCTGCTCTTCCACGGGAGTTTATTCTCCCGTTAGCTCCCGGTTAGCTCACACTGCAGCGGCCGCTCTAAAGTATTCACTGTCCGACTCACACAAGCAGCGGTATGGGCATAGATATGTCTCATAATTATTTGTGTGAACATAAAAATAATTTGTGTGTAAATATGTGATTTGTAAATGTAAAACAACATCCACAAATGCATTTAAAAGATTTGCAAACTCACAAATACATTTGCAAGTGTAAAACGGATCTGCAAATACGCTAAATATGTTCACAAATTAAAAAAGATCTGTGAATATCTCTTTAACATTTACACCTTTCGATCAGGCATTTGTGAATCCATTTTGTATTTGTGGACCAAAAATGCGCTTGCGGATCTCAAATCTCTGTTCGCGGATCGTCTTTTTACACACACGGAATTTTGAGACATATTTTCCGCCGGTCTCGGCTAAAATCTACTCGTGTCACTCGGTTATTTTCGGAAACCACGTGATGGCCTGCTGATGACGACATTTCCGCATGATTTCAAAGTAAGAGCATGATGGTTTGTTTAATGCTCTGTTTTTGTATTATAATGAACAGCGGAACGTTAGATGTATTCTTTATCACCATAACCCTGACCTAAATACGGTGCTTTTCTACAGATTACTTTATTACTGCACTGGTAAGGTAAGATTAGGCCGATTAATAAGGTGTGAAGTGCTTTGTAACTTCGACCCGCTTGACTGAATACACAACAAACAATGAAGAAAGAGTTTTATCTGGGCTGTTTCGCTGCCAGCTGCTCCCCCGGGACCCGAAAGTGGCGTATAGCCTGCACTTCAACATCAACGAAAGTGCTCGATATATGCTATATTGAACCAATAACACAAACTAACTGTATCACTATAACATGATGATGATGG